TTCCGAAGCTTTTACATGGTAAACCTTTTCATCTTCACATCCGTGCACCAGTCACCACTTAAACTGTCACACCCGCGTTTTGACTATTCAGTTAAACTTTCCGAAACTTAAGCCAAAGAGCATTTACATCACTGCAGGTATTGAGCCAGTTTATAGCCACGCCTTCACTGTCTCAAGAGTGGTATACCATTTATTTTTTGAGACAATGTATATTTCCCAGTAAAAGGCATGGGAGGTGGGGAACCCTGTAATTGTTAATTTTAGCGATTTCGTGTTTTTGATCCTCCGTCGTTAGTTGGAGGTAAACTCTAACGGCTCCTACAAAGTCTTCCTATTTTTCTGTTTTTAACACATTTAACCAAGAAATGTGTGTAAAAAGACTTTTTTTAAACTCCCAGAATCCCTTCGATTCTTGCTCACCCTCATTCGTTAGCGACATGTCACATAAAGACCAGAGAATTTGCTAGAGTCTGCGTTCTGTCTTTAAATACTCCTCATGCACAGACTTCAACTTAGCGAGAACCTAATCTAGTTTTGCACCGTTCCTTCCGTTTTGTGTAAACTTGGGGAAAACCACACACCGAAGTATCCTCCAGTTTCTGACGGCGCATACCCCCCTCCCATTGGGCCACGCTCGAACGGCTGTCGTCGATCAGGGATGCGTCGGCCACAAATAAAAAGCACGTCAGTAATCAGAACTTTTCTGCTGCCTATTAGGTTGTATTGTAAGAGGTATCGTCAACAGTCAGCCGTCTATAGAGCAGGAATTTAACGGATTAGAACTAAGTCCGACTTCAATTCTACAACGCGTATTTTACTCCATTTTCCAGAAATGCCGCTAGATAAGTTATGTTACATCCTGAATACAGAGGCTTTCGGCGGGGGGAGGGGTGATCTATTACATGAATTTTCTGACCACAGTTGACCCTCAACCACCCTCCTCGCAGTTTTCGCTATCTTCGGTCTGTTATCCATAGTCGCTCATATTCATGTGTTATGAATGCCACAGTACTCAACGCCTTTTTGTCTACATTTTATCGTTCAACCCATTATCTTCATTCCTTTTTTCTGATGTCCGGCAGTTTTTTAGACCAGTTAGTACAAGACCGATTGAAATCCAAAAACAGACACTAAAGGCTTCTTTTGGATCATTGTCTCATGCCCTTTTTAGTGCATTTATAACCTTAGACGAGTATCCAACTGCGCGTACTTCATTCTATCCACCCAACTGGTACTTTGTAATACTAATTTTTATATGCGTTAATTGAATGACCAGGTGGGTGTTTAGTTTCACTCGTATCCCATTTCAATCGAGGATCTATGCTAACTTGCGCAAGCCTTTCTTCCCTGGCTATATTTAAGCTCTTCTCCTGAACTTTGCGCAGTATTATCCTTTGGGTACTTGTTTAGGGGGAAAATGGGAACTATTTGTGTTTACTCCATGATATTAACTGAGGATACGAGAAGGCGACGATTACTGGAGCCACTGTACTAACTGATTCACGTTTCAAACAGATGGCTCCGCTGGTTGTTGGCACTGGCCGTTTGAACTGTCAGTACAGTTCCTCCGGTAGTTAGCCTCTTCACTTTTCGAATTGTCAATCTGAATTTTGTAGCTTCCCCCCACCATAAAATGACGCATGTGGCTCACACTCATCGCATTTTACACTTACAAATCGACTTACACACACCCGGCGCAAAATATGTGAAAGGAAGACTATAAACAAATCGATTGCTCATTGCTCGTCTACATTATTTTTATGAGCACTGTTAGCCGTCCGATCACGTATTGAATGTTATAGATGACGGAAAACAATTGGCTCAGTTCATTTTTATAATTTCACCAGTTTGCCC